AACACACACACACACATACACAGACAGCCGAGTCAGTTGAACAGGAATGTCACTGAGAGGCACAACTTTTGCAGTAGAGGCCAGCTGAGGCGTGATGTAGAGCAAAGTATAAATTTGCTCAAGGGAATTAAACTGTTGCAACTATAATTGGAGGCACATCCAAAGCATAATTTCATAAATTGGTCCAACAGTGTGCTTGGTGAGAAATGACTGTGATATCCATGTTGTTGTTTTTGTATGCATATTCTAACATAAAGAAGTAAAAAAATGCACTGGAAACAGACAACATTGTCTCTTGTAACATTACTTCAGTTCTTGTCCCTAAAATAGTTTATCCAACTCTGCGAGCATGACAGCTTCTTCATCCCGAGTATTCAGGGTCATCTCTGCCTTCAGGAGAACTCAATATTAGTGGGCTTTTATAGAAGATTGTAAAGAAAACAAAATAATAACAAAGGACTTCTTGGTTTAAGGTACCATTTCTAATGGTTTTGTATTAAAGTGTCGCTGACCAGTGAACATGTTCAAATTTGATGATTTCGAGTTTTTTTTTTTTTTTAAATCACACAATTTTATCTAACATTAACCTTTTTTTCTGAAAAGATGAGATTTTGCAGTTGCATGGTATTCCTTTTTGAGACACCTTCATATGACCGCTACTGACATTCTGACCACACTTGGACATAACCATCCAACTTTGCTATCTAATGAGAGTATTTGATATAAATGTACATGTATTTTGCAAAGCCAACACTGCCACTCCACATTGAACTTTGCTATACAGCTATAATACTTTAAATTACACTTAATATGATTCGGGATTGCAAAATGTAGGAGAGGCCAACTGTGAAGGGATACTGATTAAATCCACATTGTCCTGAAAAAAGACAGTAGCAACTGTTTATTCACACTATGCTTTTCCTCATCACAGCAATTCAAAATTTATAGTACAAATGTCCCAAAAATACACTTAAATGGGATAAAATACCATAAGATGCCACATAAGTCTTAGTGTATAAAGACAGCCTTGTAACCGCTGTAACCTGAATGATGTTGTTTTGACTGTCCTGTGCAGGGTGTTGTACGGAAACAAGATCACAGAGCTGCCCAAGGGATTGTTTGATGGACTGGTTTCCCTGCAGCTACTGTAAGTACTATCTGTGTGGTCTGTTGTTATGTGTGTACCTGTGTGTATTAGTGTGGTGCCTCCAGAAAACAATGACATACATTATTCAGCAAACAAAAGAAAATCACACTCAAATATGGGATGGAAACGCTGTATCGTCATGGATTTGTGACAGAAATAATGTACAGCTACAGTTTCTTTTAGAAAATGGACCAAGTGGCAACCAAGGAACATGTGAAATGTAAAATAAAGGACAACCTGCACACTCAAAGGCCCTTATTGCATGTGATGTATGGGCGAGGAACGTAACTGCTGTGTGTCATTTACAGTGTGTGACTAAAGTTGTGTGTGAAAAAAAAACAACTTCCTATGTCAGCGTTCGCGGACATATAAAAATAAATCTTGCAGTGTCCCTTAGTATTTCCATGAAGTTAGCTCCAATTGGAGCATTATAATGTTAAGTGGATTAGCTGTATTTGTGTTTAGTATTGTACTGGAGTTGCAGCTATAGTACATTACTTTTGTACCAAGATCACCGCCATGCCTCAATGTGCAGTATGGTGGTAATTTTATGAGGAAGAGCAATGCTTGGTTATCATTATTATTACACAGTGGCAGCTATAGCAGAATCCCCTCTTTGTGCTCTCACCCTCCATCTGTCCTGCATCCTGTGTGTATACAGAAAAGTATTGCTTAAATGATCAACATGAACCAAATTGATGCACTGTAATAAAAACTGTAATCTCGCATAGCTCTTTTTAACATTTAGTGTCTTACTAAGAGGAAAACTATTTATTGTGAATAATTTCTCGTGGGCACAGGCTCAAACTGCAGCAGTGGTACAGCACGCAGTAAAAATGTGGACTCCTGTAACAGCTACAGTGGTACTGTACAGGGCATATGGTCCTCGCAAATGCCGCAGTCCACTGCAGAAACAGCTTATGTTCTGGGCTTTTCCATCGTAAAGTGAAGCGAAGCAAAGAGAATGAGGATGAGTGAATCTAACCCACAAACACCTTTTACGGGCTTAGGTGGATCATTGGGATGCATGGTGCATAGTCAGACACAGAGAGAGAAGAGGTCGGGGGGGAATAATGGATGGGGAAGGGAAAGATGGGGAAAAAAGACTTGGACATAAGGAAGAAATTAATATGGAGAAACATATAAATGCAGATACGATTAGAAAAGAGAGTGAAGAAAACCAGAGAGAGAAATTAAATTTGTGTGAGGTCGTTAACATTAACTACCAGGAGAAGTATTTCCCTCACGCCTTGTCGTGATGATGACAAGGTGAGAATGTTAAACACTGAATGCTATATTTGTAGTTGATAGCTGCACATGTGATCCCTTAAGAGGATAATTCAAGACTGCTTCTGTGCATTTGTGACTGCTTCAATCGCTGAATATATAAAGTACTGAATGACTAGTTAATATTCATGTCTTGCCACCACATCATTGGTCAATCCCACTTAGACGCCTGCAGGTGTTGGCGCTCTCTCTCAGCAGCAATGGAAGGGAACATGTCTTTTAATATTTTGCCGCTGATAGATGAGAAACATTGGTCAGTTTGTCAGGCATTTCAAGATGCTGTCATTCTACCATATAGCGTAATAAATATACATCATATATTAGCTTTGACTGGTGAATCTAGCAGCATGTCAACCGTCCACGACAAAGATGTGTTTATTGCTTTGTATAGCTACCGGTCTGCTGTTTATATTGTCTGTGTTGCTTTCTTTTACTGGTGCAGTTTCAAGTAATTAGTTCCCCCTGTGAGCTGCCTAATGAGGCGTGGATATGTCGCAGAGCAGCATGTGTGTGCGTGTATCTGCCTGTGTGTGTGTGTGTGTGTGTGTGTATAGGCAGGTTGTGCCAGTATAGGCGCTCGTTAGGACGACTTGAGATGATTAAGCTGAGCTGCACAGAGTTAGTTACCTGTCAGACACAGAGAGACAGAGGGAGGAGTGTGTGAGGGACAAAGAAACAAAGAATAGAAGAAAAGAGTTTTTGTGTGAAAGCAGAGTAAAAAGATCGAGACAAGGAGTGGAAAAAAGAACGGTAGACGTACAAGCGAAAAGCTGTCGACTTGGCTATATTAGTGAATGAGGTGCAGGTAGAGAGAGAGGTAGGAAAGGGTGGCGGTGCAAACCTTTCCTGTCATTTACCTAATCCCTCTATCACATTTCTCATTTCCCTTTCTCTTCTCCGTTTTTTACTGCCGGCCTCTTTCACTTAATTGTATATCTCTGTCACTCAGAATTACATTTTCGCCTGTCCCTTCACTGTCTCGCTCCATTATTTCCCCCATCCCATCTCCATTCTTCTATCTCATCTTTTCCTCCATCCTTTTTACCCTTGCCAACTGTCTCTCCCATCAAAACAAGATATCACAGCGAGACCCAACAGCAAGGAAAATGAAAATATATACAACCGCAATTTTCAGATTTATGTGTCACAGCCAGAAAAAAATATAATCACGGCTGTGTGCAGAGGGTTGGAGAGGCTGGAGGGAGGGACTGGGGAGGGAATATGGAGAAGAAGAAGAGGACAGGGGAGAAAAGTTGTGGTTTTTCAGTAGAGATGCATCTGAGAAAAAATCTCATTATCTGCATGCATCTTTTGTTTGTGTTGTGCACAGAGGTAATTAAGTTAAAAATGTAAAGTAAAAGAGATGAATAACAAAGGGCTCTTGCTTGTGTTTCAGGCTGCTGAATGCCAACAAAATTAACTGTTTGAGAGTCAACACCTTCCAAGACCTGCAGAACCTCAATCTGCTGTCGCTGTACGACAACAAACTGCAAACAATCAGCAAAGGACTGTTCGCCCCTCTGCGCTCCATCAAGACTCTGTAAGTATACTCAGGCTTCAAGAGTTTTTCATTAACCCAGCTGCTTCGATTTAAATGAATTGGCAACTATTTCCATAATTGGTTAATCGTTTTGAATGTTTTTCTGGTCCCAGCTTCTGAAATGTGACATATTGCTGTTATTCTTGTCATATATTACAGGAAATTGAATATATTAAGGTTTTGGACAGTTAGTTGGACAAAACTTGCAAACTGACCTAATGTAGCCCCATGAGAGGCTTTGAAAGACATTACACATGCGTTTGTTAACAAGCTGAAGGACTTGGAACCGGCAAATACGTCGTCAGAAGCCAAAAAAACATGTTGACTGACAGGGAAGAGTAATATTACAGGATTTTGCACAAATATGACTCTGCACAGTCCTAGATTAAGGTTTAAGGTTCAAAAAAAGGTTGCATAATGGTGCTTTAATAGACAATGAACATAATCAATATTTGAATATCAAGTTATGCATTGATGTTTAAACATGATTATCCAGACACAGAGAGGAAAGAGGCCAACAGAACTGCACATGTGTCACTGTTGTGTTTAGATTGCTTTTTAATCAAGCAATGTGTACAATACCTCAACATATTCCTTTCCTAAAGTTGCTCTTTCTCTTCTCTGGATAATAAATGAAGGTTATTAGTGTTTCTGCTGCTTGAAACAGAGACTACCTAACTTGCTGTATGCTAGAAGCTTCTTCTTGAGGAAAGATGTAGCAGACACCAGAAGTTAAGAGCAACAGATGTAAAATCGTACACATGTGGTTGAATCAGCAATGTTTGGCATCAGTCAGCAACTGTAACTCTGCGGTTGTCGTCTTTTTTGGCCTGTGACAAACCTTCCTCCCTCCTCTCTCCCTCCTCTCTCTCTCTCTCTCTCTCTCTCTCTCTCTCTCTCTCTCTGTCCCTCGCTCTCAGCCATCTGGCCCAGAATCCCTTTATGTGTGACTGTCACCTGAAGTGGCTGGCGGACTACCTTTTTGACAACCCTATTGAAACCAGTGGAGCGCGCTGCAGCCACCCCAGAAGGCTGGCTAACAAGCGCATCAGCCAGGTTAAAGGCAAGAAGTTCAGGTGCACAGGTAGGAGACGGGTTCACGCTGACACACCTGAACACACACAAGCACTCAAGCAGGGAGTCACCTCTGAAGGCTAAGGGGTAAAATGTCAAGATGCACAGATAAATCATTATAAACACATGTAGTTTTAAAAGCATGTTTGTTTATGTGTAATTAGAAAACTTATATGTGTTTACTGACACACACAAGCATTCACATACAATCTCTCTGTGGCGGAATTTTATTACTGTTATTTCCTTTGATATGAGCCATGGGTCTCACTAATTACAACACAGAACAATTCAATATACTGCAACAGCACAATAACTAACCCAGCAGGGACTGACCATAGACTGTGATCACCCACTTGTGTGAGCAAATGAGTGTGTGTCTGTGTATGACTGTATACACTTCACATCCTCGGAGCCTCTCCACGGCGGCTCCTCACATTGTTTTCTAGGTCTTAAGTATTATGCATTTTTTATGGATCACTGGGGGAAAAAAAAATTAAATCCCCTCACAGACATTTTACAGACTATTTGAATTGTGTGAGAACGGTGGTTGTAAGCAGATTATTGGTTTATAAGGCAGCATAGACGGGGATCTTTGCTCCAACAGTCACTTTAACCCGACACTGAATCTTACCAAAAGATTATAAGGTAACAGCATTCTTATGATTTGATGTAAGGGTTTGTTTTACAATAAGCAACAACGTGGTTTCTATAACAGCAGGTATGTCATAAAGTAGTCCAACACATTCTCACTCTCGACATGTCAAATACCGAGGCTTGATCAGTCGCTTCAAGCTATGACGCTCGAGTTACACCTCAAGCGTCGGTCTTGTGGTTGTGGATAACTTGACTAAAGACTCACGTGACTACAGATTGCCGTTCATCAGAGTCAGACGCCGAGGGGCATAGAGCAAGTTGTGGTATTTGACGATTCTGGAGTGAGACCGGATTCAGTAGTCAATTCTGTCGCAGATGTTTCGTTTTATTTAGAGCATGAACCCTGAAGACAAATGCAACAACAGAAGCAACAGAAAGCACTCAAAATATTTGGAGAGCAAGTCTCTCCATCACAGTGTGATGCTGTGAAAAAGCTGTGAATAAGCGACGCAATCTTAAATGGTATGTCCTAACCTAAACCAGGCACACAACCAATACTATTAAATGGTGAAGGCTTCTATCCAGAGTGCTTTGCAGTATCATGAGCTCATGTGGTGCATATTTGACATGGAAGGTCTCAGTGGTAAGCCCTTAATGTTAGTGCTTTGTCCATGGAGCTAATCAAGGAAACAAATGCTCCTAAAGCCGGTCATGGCTGTCCTCTTTGCTTTAGCCCTTGCTGTCTGCAGTCCCATGCCTCTCCTTGCATCTCCTCTTCCGCTCTGGACCTTGTGGACATTTTCGCTATTGGTGGGCAGTCCCGTCCCCCCTCCTGTGTGGATCTGCAGCTGTCTGTTGCCTCTCCTATCCTGTATGGACCCTGCCCCTCCCTGACTGATTGGTGCAGCTCTCTGTTGCCCCACCTTCCTCCCGTGTGGACCTGCATTCTGATTGATTCGTGCAGCTGTCTCTTGTGCTTGATCTAACCATGTGGCCCCGCCTACTGTGGCATCACATGGTTCCGTCAAGCGCCAGGGACCGCCAAGCACACACCCACCTGCCTCTCCAACCCAATCACACACCTTGGAGCAAAATATTAAGGGCTAAATACTGTTTGTCTGCATTCATGTGTAGGGCTTCTGATACATGGGACTCTAACTGTGGTTGAACTAAATGGACATAGACCAGTAATCTAACATCAATTCATATATCAATCAGTGATGAATATCAATAATTTAAGCCCTTCATAAACACCCATATCCATCATACATGCTCAACTCCAACATACATTTGAGCTCAATCATGACCTACATGTTCCTTCCTGTTCTGTTTATGTGGAAAGTATTGATATGTCATTGTAGGCTCTCAAATGCTTGTTAATGTCAAGTGACACCAGATTTTGCTTTCAGATGGTTTCAGTGAAGAACAGAGCTAGACGTATTGAATAAGCTGATGAAACATTGACACGTAAAGAAATCGCAAGGCTCTCCAATGTCTGGCCAGGTAGAGAGAAGGGATTGAACTCTCACTCACGTATTTTTAAAAAATGTTGTTAATATTCCCGTTTGTGTTAATGCATGGTAGAAAAAATATGCGCTGCGTGGGAGAAGGACACTGCTTGGCTGTATTGAGTGCTGGAAAATCAGAGTGTTTTTTTTAAAAATCTGAATAATTTTCAATATTGTGGATGGCTGTTAGCCCAGGAAATAGGTCCTTATTCCTAGGCGACATAGTTGTGATGCTGTGTTTTTTTTTTTGTAATAGTTTGTAATAGTAATAACAAAATTGTATTAGTAAAGAAATGTAAAAGTTATACATTTTGAATTTTATTTTCTACCCTTGTTTGGGCGCCCCTATATATGTACGGCACCTCTATCATTCACCTATACCGCCTACGCCTAGAGGGCCGGCTCTGCACCTCGCCATGCTAGCTCCTGTAGTTCACTTTCACAACCATACCCATACGTCCCACCTGCTTTTCATCTAGCAAAATCTGGTCTGGCTGCACCTGGACACCTGTCTCCATTGTCAAAGCGCTGGCAGTGCTTCAGTGGCTAGCATGACTGATCCCACCACCTCCGTACAAACCGCTTTCCCCCTCTTCTGCTCCAACTGAGGGACTTTAAAGGAAAATGTCAAGCTAATACTGTTATACGGGTTTCCTCATTCTTACCTTCTTACCTTAAGTATATATCATCCTTCCCACCCCAAATTCTTTGCTCTCTTCCTTCCCTTTTCTTTCCTTGCTCTTTCCTTTCTGTCAACTTGCCAACCAACAAGGTGCGTGGCAGCCCGGGGATATCAAATATTCTGCCACTAAAAGGAGCTAACCAGCCAATTCTACAAACAGTAAGGCATCATTGGAAGAGCAGCAATCAACAACTGAGTTCAAATCAAGGTTGTTCACTGCAAACGACCCCTCAATAGGTGGTCCTTGTTCTAAAACAGCGACGAGCTGAAAACACATGAGCCATAAAGGGTGTGTGCCAGGAGAGAGTGGAGACAGAGAGTCAAGAATCTAGTAGTTTGTGCCAAATAAAAACGAAAAACAGAAAATGTTAAATTGAAAGAGAACAGATAGACATGCAAGGTTAGAAAGAGAGGGAGAGAAAGGTAATGATAGCCGTGAGAACTATAAAGTGTGTTTGTGGTGCACAAATACAAGTGCTGCATGATATAAACCAGCTCCGTTCCACCGGCACTAGCGGTCATAAATATCTGCTCACATTACATCTAACTAACAGAAGTGGTCTCTGGCTCACCTTGTTAAATAAAAACATCCGGGGTTAAACCACATTTATCAACAAAATGATTCCATAAAACCACATGGATATCTGTTTGTTAATTTGATTCATAGCCATGTACCGCAGCCGCCTGCTTCAGTCCTGTGCATGCCCCTCTGTACAGTACTGCAGCAGCATGCAGCCTGTTCTTTTAAATAGATGAGGTGGACACAGTTCACTCATGTCTGGCAAATTGCTGGTTGGCTAGTTATGTTTTACAACTTTGACATCTGAAATTAGAGCAAACAAACTCCAATGAGAAACAGATTAGACAGATAGTGATAACTTGGCAGTGGCAGAAAGTGTTTCCTTTTTTACTATTGGCTGTATATTTATTGGGATGATATGTTGTCTGTTGAATATAAGGTATAAAGTAGAACATCTTTATATCTGGTCATATGTAAATTGAACAGTATTTTTATTTTATTAAAAACCTCCAGAAGCTAATATTACAACTTTCTATCTTTCTCTCCTCCCCTCCATCTTTTTATCCTCTAATTTACCTGGTTTTCCTCCTTTCCTTCCCTTTCTACCTCCTGTCTGTCCTGTGTTCTGTCCTCCCTCCCTGTTTTCCTGTTTCACCTATATAACTCTCTCTTTCTCTTTCGGTTTTTCCTTCCCTCTTTCCTCTGCAGGTCAGGAGGACTACCGTAGTCGTCTGAGTAGCGAGTGTTTCCAGGATCTGGTGTGTCCAGAGAAATGTCGCTGTGAAGGCACCGTGGTCGACTGCTCCAATCTCAAACTGACCCGTGTACCTCCACACATCCCCGAACACACCACGGACCTGTAAGTCAGCCGGCTTTTCCTTTTTACACACACCCACACATGTATTGTATGCAAACACATGATGAAATATCAGCTTCAAAGCCATGTGTTTGACTGCTTTAACCTGAAACTGTAAACCACCACACATCCTCTAACATGCCACAGACCAGTTTTTCACTTTATCAGGCGCATGCAAACACCAAAACGCTCAACCATATACACATTGAAACATGCACAGGTGTGTCGAGGCGTGCAAACATGCAAAGACACGCACAAATGCGTGTATGCAATGCACGCGCAGATGTCTGCCTTTCTCTCAGAGCAGTATCATGAATGTGCTTTTCATTTTCGAGCTCCCAGACCAGATGCCTCTCAACAGTCTTTTCCATCTCCCTCAAAGTCCCAAAGGAGCCATCATCATGTCTGGTGAAGGGTCTCACACTAGAATACTGAACAGTCCCATGGATCATTCATTTTACAGCTGAAAAATGGAAAGGGAGTAACAGATAACACGCAACAGGAATACCGTAACCTGATTGCAAAAAAGGTTAAAAAGCCTCTATGTGTTCAGAATCTACTTGACTAAATAAACAAGCTGGTATTATGCTAAGGAATTGTGGCAATAGGCAAGAAAATCCATAATTCAGAAGCATAAAATCAAATGTCTATGATGTGATTTAAATGATAAATACTTAAAAAGTCATAAAACACACCCCGACTAAGACCGAAAAAACGGGATTTGTCATTTAAGACATGCGACACAAGAAAAGTGTGCTGCCATTGAAATCAGCCAGACACATTTCCACACAGTAATTACAAATCCAGCCAGAGGCAAAGTTGTTCTTAATAATGCTGAATCATGCCATGGCTATCACCGAGGTACTCATAGAGAATAGCTGCAGAATAAGGGACCGCTGCAGCGTTAAGGAAGATGCAGAATGGTTGCTTATGGAATTAGTTGTATAACGGTGACTTCAAAAGTGGCTGCCACTTTGGATAACTAATAATGTCAGTATCCAACAGACCAGTAGACCCCAATTCCTCTCTCGCTCTATTTCTTTGGTTCTGCTTCTCTTTGTGAACTCTTGCATCCTCCAATCCTCCCTCCGTTATATGTTCCCAGGGTGCTCCATGTCCAAAATATAACCTCTGTCCTTCATGGTTGGTTGAAGGGCAGATCAGAGTTTCCACTGTGTTGACACCCTCTCTCTTTTTCTTGCCTTTTCCTTAAGAACACAACCAACCAGTGGCTTTTTGAAGGCCACACACACAAGCAGCCAGTTGTGCCCTGTGTAACCTCCCTATCAGGGGAAATCAGGGGAGGTTGTGACTGAGCTGAAGGCTTATATATTTTCTACTCTCTTTCTCTCTTCTGTCTATCTTTCTGTCTTTCTTCTCTTCCCACTAGCCACAAAAATCCTTGACCTTGGCCTTGTGAGTGTTCAATAAGTATGAAGGAATCAGTTTTAAGAGAATTATTTGCACTCAATAAATGTGTACATTCACTACATCACAAGGTAAAGAGATTGGAATCGTTTTATCTTTGTTGTTTTATCCATATGGACTTTGCAATATGTTATTTCAGTTTGGCCTCATCCAGATGGATCAATCTTTAAACTCCCCCTGTATCTCATTAGAAAGTGTCCCCTCCAGCTGAACTTTCACTTTCTTTCCTCGATTTCTCTCACTCTGCCTCTTTTACACACACGCACACACGCTCTCAGACACATACACAAAGAGCATCCTTTTTGCTGCACCCTTTTAGTACAAATTACCTCAATAAAGCAGATGTCGAGCTTCCTATCTCTCAAGCGGTTTTCTCTGGGCTTAGGGGCAGTGTGGGTATTGATGACCTCATAGAAAAGATTCATTGCTCTTCTCCATCTTCTCTTCTCCCCTTTTCTCCAGTATGTTTAATTATTCTTCGCTCCCCCCCTCTGGTTTTGCGGCACATCATACTTCAACGGTCACTAAAGGCCTCTTAACCTTCATGCGGTCATTCCCCCCTCACGTACATCCTTTCTCTCTCCATCTTGTGTGCACATGTTAATTTGTCTGTATTGACTTCGAAGCAGTTTGTTTCATGAAAGAATTAATGTCTAACTAAATTACACTATCATTCTCTCTTTAGGCGGTTAAACGACAACGAGATTGCCGTCCTGGAGGCTACGGGGACGTTTAAGAAGTTGCCTAACTTGAAGAAGATGTACGTATTATTTTTGCATTCATTTATTCATTACATCATGCATGCATTTACCCAATTCGTCTCCTGAAAGGGAGTTTGAGAATCTTGTATCTTCATAGTGCTGTTTTTGAGTTGTTCCCCTGTTCTATACAGAGGAATGAATGAATAGCATTTCAATTAAAAGATGACAAAAATAAGAATAGATGGATGTGAACAGATGGAACTTTGTGGAGGACAGAGTTAAGGCATGCAAGAAGATGTAGAAGTGAAGAGAGAGAAGGGAATACACACAAAGAGGCCAGAAGTGAAAATTAGAGTGACATGAATCAAGAGACAGACAGAGATGGAGAGTAAGGACGGGTGGGTGGAAGCTATGGAGGAAGCGAATATTAAATGGAAATGGAAGATGGGCCTTCGGTTCAGATTTACAGTCACTCCTTATCTACAACCTCCTCTCGGTTTGTGTGTGTGTGTGTGTGTGTGTGTGTGTGTGTGTGTGTGTCAGAGCGAGATAGAGAAAGACAGAGGTTGATTTATTGGAGAGGAAATTGCTAACCATCTAGCAGTGTCACTGACGATACAGATTGGCTAACACTCATTTCCATTTTCCTTCTCTCAATTCCTTCCCTCTCTTCTTTATCTCCTTCTTTCCTCTCCTCCTATTTTCCCTTATCCTTGAATCTGCTATGCTACTTTTCATTTTACTCTAAGATTGTCTACAATCATTTCATTTTTTCACTCTATCCCATCCTTTCCTCTCCTCTCCTCTCTTCTCCTCTCCTCTCCTCTCCCCTCCTCTCCTCTCCTCTCTTCTCCTCTCTTCTCCTCTCCCCTCCTCTCTTCTCCCCTCCTCTCCTCTCCTCTCCTCTTCCGTAAAGCTGATAAGAGGAAACACAAAACTAGCTATGAATGGAAGCTATAGTAGTTGTGATAGCTATCATCTCAAGTCATTGTCTCTGTGGCCAAATGCTCTCTTTTCATTTTCATTTTTCTCATTATGTGCACAAGGAAGAGAGATAGCAATCGTTTCCAGTTGTCTGTGACCACTTGTCTCATTTTCTTTCGTGTGTGTGTGTGTGTGTGTGTGCTTTGTAGTGTATAGAGTGATGACTTTACGCTGTTATATCTCTTGTACAAGATGAGGATATTAAGATGAAGGAGAGAAGAGTTAACATTTATTAGTTGAAGGGACATGATTGATTATTGCAATTAAACTGGAAAAAGTATGTGTGTGTGTGTGTGTGTGTGTGTGTGTGTGTGTGTGT